CAACTCACTTCTCAAAAGCTCCCATAAAGTGGTGTAACAAATTATACGGCCCCACAGCAAAACTTTGATGGCACACAACTAAACAATAGTTGCAGTAGCAATAATAATGACCTTCACAATATTTTATATTATGATGTAATTGTTAGTACACAATTACTCCATAATGCAAACGTCTAATAAACTGGCCTTTTTTTTTTCTTCTTTCTGTGAGAGAGACTGTGTTAGGCATAAGGGGTTACCTATTACTTATTGTAATAGGTAGCCCCTATTACAGGGGTTAGATAATTATCTAAACAAATTATACTTACTGCACAGCCTGCAAAAGGGATCTGTGATTAGTAACATCCGTTCTGAGGTCTCCTTCTGAACAGTTCTACTTGATTGGAAATGTCCATAGCGGGTACAGGGTCAGTATCCACAGAAACCTCTGCAATCCATAAGGATACAGTACTGAAATGTTATATTTATATGCACACATTTTTTTTTCTGTACTTAGAATGCTTTCACTTCCAACCTCAGGCCCCATAGTAGCCAGGTGGGCTGCTATTGTCATTGCTACACCACTGCTCCTGCAGCTCAGTCAGGTGTGACCCCCCCCCCCTCCTCTGCCTCATCCAAGGAGGAGTACTTTGCATCTATACCAGATTTTATGGGTCAACCTAGAGCTGTGATTGCTGACCCTGAACTCAGAGGCTGTAATCATAGTTTATGCTATCACTTCTAGAATCTTTGACATCCCAGCAGCTATAGCAACCTCTGTGCCTCTTGCTGAGAATGTACTGTCTGAAGAAGGCTATGACAGGTTCTTGTTAGATGACTTTACTCCTGAGGAGCTTTGGTCAACTGAAATGGCTCCCAGGCTTAAGAAACGATATCGGCTCTTATTGTTGCCTTCTGGTACACTCCATTTAACATGTTCTGTACGGAGACTAGAACATAAAGAGATGTCTGTGGTTAAACATTTGGTCTGTGGAGTAGCATTAAAAAATTCTTGCTGCACATGCCTTCTGATGTGAATGTCTGTTTGGTGCCATGCTGGACAATTTCATAAACCACATTACTGGTGGTAAGGGTTCTCATTATCCAAGCAAAAGAAGTCTAAGCTTCAAAGTGACAAACCCTTTCCTGTCTCTAAAGCCAAAAAGAGTTCCTTCCATTTCTCCCAAGCCTAAGAGATTGGTCCAGTACAGCTACAAACCTCGGACTTCTACATTTTCAAATCCTGTTGAAAAACTCTCCTTTGTCTTGAAGGGACACCCCCACTTTCCAAAGTGGGGGGCATCTGTTGGCCTTTGCGCACACCTGCCCCAATACTTACACAGCCTGATCCTTTGCCTAATTAAGAAAAAAATATTAAACTGCGGAAGTGACACCCTTTAGTAGCATCTGACCCATATTGCACAAAACCTTAACTTTTTATAATTGTCTTTAAAAAAAAACACTTTTTTTAAAATTCTATTTATTAATATGCATTCCAATTTTTATATACACAATTTATGTTTCCTTCTGGAAGTGAACTGTCCACTTCCAGAAGAGAATCCAAATGGTGTTGTTAATGTGTATATATACACATGATAGAGAAATTATATAAATAAACAAAAACTTCTTTTTTTTAATGAGACAAATATTACATATTGGGTCATATGCACAAGTTAGAAAGCATCTCAGATGCTTGGGTAGGAGACATGCTTTGTAGTCTCAGTGGACAACAAGAATAATTACTTGCATGTCAGTTATCTCTGATTTGCTGTGGGCACTCAACACTACCAATTTGAGCCCTACCATTTGGCTTATCCTCCATAGCAAGCATTTTGACCAAGGTTCTAGTCCCTGTTCTAGTGTTGCTATGCTCCCAGGGTATTCCTATGGTTGGATACCTAGACAACCTCCTCTTGAGGGAACGGTCAGCTCAAACAATGGCTGTTAATGTGATGTGGACATTCCAGACCCTATAAAGGTGCTCCTGCACCTTCAGAAATCGGTGCTGGAGCTGACACATGACTTGAAATATCTGGGTCTCATTCTAGTCACAGCTCATGCCAGACTCGGACACTACTGTCCAGGAGCTATCCAACTGTGAGATTCTGCATGAGTGTTCTTGGGTTGATGGTAGCCTCCCAGGCAGACCCATTTGCTGAGCTCCACTTGATATCCACACAACACACCATTCTGTCATCATGGGGAAAAGTCTTTAGAGAAACCAATTCACCTGACACCCAGGACCAGGTTGTCTCTGGCCTGGTGGTTTAAGAAATCCACTCTAGAGTTGAAAATATCCTTCACCCCACTGTCGTGTAAGATCATCACAAGGGATGCCAGCCTGAAGGGCTGGAAATAAGTCCTATATACCTTGTCAGTGCAGGGGATTTGGATGCCGGAGGAATTCCATCTTCCAGACAACATCCATACAATCTGGCTGTTCCTGCAACACTGAACACTCCATCACAGTGTCATCCGAAGGTCCAATTGGACAATGGCACAACATTGGCATACATCCATAATGGGGGAGGAACCAGAAGTCTGGCTGCAGCTAGAGAGGTCAAAATTATTTTAGTCTGGGTGGAACTCCATGTTCCAGCTTTGTTTGCTATTTACGTTCCAGACATGGACAGTTGGCATACAGACTGCCTCAGCTGGCAGCATCTGGACCTGGGGAAATGGTCCCTTCACTAGGTGATTCAGCACCTGTGTCACAGTTGGGGAATGCTGGATGTGGACCTCCAAGTTCAACAACAAAATGGTCAGGTTTGTTTTCAGATGCAGAGATGGTGGTGGAAGCAGTGGAAGATCTGGTGACTCTGTGGGATTTGTACAGCTGGATCTACACCTTTCATCCTTGTCTACTTCACTTGGTTTCACCTCAGGAAATACTCCATGGAATGAATCCTTACTTCTATGATCTGGTTCAGATCAACATTTGTTCCTCCAGTACCATCAAGTAGCTGTGGGGCTATTGACTTGAATGCACCACTAGAACACAGGGGGGGAGTTTAGTATTATTATTATTATTACATATTATTTATATAGCGCCAACAGTTTGCGCAGCGCTTTACAATATAAGGAAGACATTACAGTTACAATACAATTCAAGACAAGATGGTAAGGAGGGCCCTGCCCCTGAGGGCTTACAATCTAAAAGAGGAGGGGGAAATGATACATGAGGTAGCTGTGGGAATGAATTATTTGAGAATGTGAAGGTTCAGTGGTTAGGTTGAGGTGGGATAGGCTTCCCTGAAGAGATGAGTCTTTAGGGAACGCCTAAAGGCAGTCAAGGTGGGAGATAGACGGACAGGTTGGGGTAAAGAGTTCCAGAGGATGGGAGAGACTCTAGAGAAGTCCTGGAGGTGAGTATGGGAGGAGTGGACAAGGGAGCTGGAAAGCAGGAGGTCAATGGATGAGCGGAGGGGACGGTTAGGGTGATACTTAGAGACAAGGTCTGAGATATATCCGGGGGCGGAGTTGTGGATGGCTTTATAGGTGACTGTTAATATTTTGAATTTTATCCTCTGGGCGAGTGGAAGCCAGTGTAGGGATTGGCAGAGGGGGGATGCAGACACTGAGCGGTTGGTAAGGTGAATGAGTCTGGCAGCTGCATTCATGATAGACTGAAGGGGGGATATCCTGTGTAGTGGAAGGCCAATGAGGAGGGAGTTACAATAGTCAAGACGAGAGATAACAAAGCAGTGTATGAGTAGTAGTCATTGCTGAGGAAGGGACGTATTTTTGAGATGTTACGAAGGTGAAGGCGGCAGGATTTGGATAGCGATTGGATGTGGGGAAGAAAGGTGAGGTCCGAGTCAAGGATGACACCTAGGACCTTGGCATGAGGAGAGGTTTGGATAGTTGTGTTATCAATCACAACTGAAATGTGGGAGAAAGGTGCACAGGGTGGAGGATATATCATGAGCTCAGTTTTTGAAAGGTTGAGTTTTAAGAAATGTTGTGACATCCAGACTGATATGTCATTTAGTAGATTAGTGACACGCAAGGACACTGAGTGGGAGAGTTGTGGAGTGGATAGATAAATTTGAGTGTCATCGGCATACAGATGGTATTGGAAGCCATGTGAGGTTATATGCGATACAGTGTGTGTTACAGCAACTAACCACGCTCAAACACACTTTACCTGGTGTGAACAAGCCCTAAAGCTTTATGGTCAACATTTCTGCATTTGCAATTGTATTTGTGACTACAAGACCGTTCAATGTTTAGAGCCATCTATCGACATTCACTACAACATTAATCGGTATTGTAAAGTATTTGTATGCTCTGAATCTGTATGCTATGTGTATTATGGGCACTCTGAACATTGCCTTCATTTTAAATATTGTTTTGTTCTGATAACCTCTTCAAACATTTAATATTCATTTGCAAATGTTATGAAAACCCTTTTACACAAGCTACTTTATGTAATGCATAGCTGGTAACTATTTAGGATGTTCAGTGATGAGACCGATAACAAAAATCTAATTTATGTATCTATAAAGGCTTTTGTAAGAAACCTAGGTAAAAAAAGGCTGCTTGTGAAAAAGGTGCATTTGGAGGTGAAAGCCAGCTGAGCTGAATTCACGTGTCTGTGTAGCTACACAGATATGTCTCTGTTTACACTAATTTACATGTTCCCTCTTTGTTCTTCTGTAACAGAGACATGTTGTTGAGAGGGACATTTCACCTTTAGTGTCAGCAAATTGTGTTTGGTTCACTTAACCTACTAAAATTCTAAGAAATCAAATTTTAGCTTTTTCCAAGAAGCCAACACAAAGCTGTTTGTTTCATTTAAAAAAAAACGTTGTGAAGTATTATGTTAAAAAAGGACCTCATGTTTTTGACTCCTAATGCATATTATAAAAATGTTTAAAAAGCTTTAAATAATATTTCACTTTTGTGAAACATATGTGATTTCCTATAGCACAAAACCATCAACTTGTATATAAAATATAGAGTATTGTTAACTAACCACATTTTTCTTTTACTTAAGATTTTTGTGTTCTCTTTTTTAGCGTGACCATGCATGTTTCCCGACATAGAGGGCAACAGTATTGCTTGCATCTTTAATTACACAGTACTAAGAAGTTTCTTAAATGGTACACAATATGGAAAGAAAAGAGCAGGTAAGCGTAATAACATGATTTTCAAACAGTACGGATATTATA